CAATTAATTAATTTGTTGATCGTGACCTTAATTTGGCTCTTCCATCTACCTTTCTATTTAGGTTATTTTTGTTCATTCTTATAAAGAAATACAAAATTTTGGCCTGCATAGATTTGTGCAAAAAACTTCGTAAGATCTACAATATTCTTAGTTTTTTGGGAACTCAGCGCCTTCCCTTTATTTAAGACGATAAACTCTTGGTTTGATCCTTTGATCACAACTTCTATAATGAATGTCCCATCCTAATTGGGTGTTAACTTGAAAACTCATTTTGGGCATCCCGTTGCATTCCGGTTTTGTATAACTATGCCCTTGAGTCTAAATTCCTTTGGTTGAACATATAAATTAGAGAACTTCGCTAGTCAACACTTTATTTTACCCTGTCATCTTTCAACTGTTGGTCTTTTCACTTATAAAAGTTCAAAATTATCTCCAAGCCCTCAACATTTTGCTACTTCCATTGAATTATTTGATTGGAATTGAGTCACATTGTTGGTCAAATTGTTTTGGAAAGTTGAATGTGTTTAAATAATACAATGTTAAAGCTAAACGTTAGTGAATATGGTGGCTTGAAGGTCATTTTTGAAGTAGTTGTGTGGCCCTTAAAACTGTTGGTTATTTCTTGCTACAAATTCCCTTCTTTTATTTGAGCTTCTTTTTCAAAACATTAAGGGTCGCCTTTTGTTCACCCATCAGTCTGGAACGACTTACAAGAGCATAATTTAAAATGACTTCATTTTCTTGATGGAAGTCCTGTAACTTCCAGCTGATTAACTAGGCTCTATTATTTGCAGCTATTGGAAGTTCAAATCTACAAAGGATGGTGGACCAAATAAATTTATAACATCGCTGTTGCTTTTAACATTATCATTACTTCTATTCACCTGGTGGACGGGTAAATAAGTAGGAACAAGTATTGATATTTCTCAAGTGCTGGAGGAAATGGATTATGTATTTGAGTGATTGTGAAGTGCTGATGAAGTGGTAAGATGGAGCTTCTAAATAAATTAAAACAGAGTAGGTCGATAGACTTGAAAACTCTTACTTCTAATTGCGAATAGCTCAACATCCTTTCTTAATGTCGGCCAAAAGCAACATTTGTGAAGAATTTTTCTTTGAAAGTGTTCGCCAAGTCTAATGACTTCCACATTATTCATTACAAATTTCTTAAATTTTTTTTTGTTGTTTGTCAAAATTTAGGTTGGAGTAGCTCCAGTGGAAGATAAGATTAGAGAGAGTCACCTTAGATGGTTTGATCACATTAAACGGAGGCCTTCCGATGGTTAGGAAAGTTGAGGTATTAGATTTGAGTTATCTTAAGAAAGGTAGAGGTAGACCTAAAAAGACTTAGTTAGAAAATATTAAAAATGATCTTTCTTTATTAGATTTAAATGAGAATTTGACTTTTAACAGGACACAATGACGAAAAAGGATTCATGTAGCTGACCCCACGTAGTGGGACAAAGGCTTGATTGTTGTTGTTGTCAAAATTTAGGCATTCTAGATTTATTTTCTAGTAATATATTCAAAAGAGCCCCCTATTTGATAGAAAGAATCTTGATGCTACTTTCTTAAGGTTTTTAGCTTCAAACTTGGAACTTATCTTTCTTTTAGAGAGAGCGATATAGATGGGGGCTCATCAAATCTTCAGCTTGCTTTATCCTCAAATCTTCCCGCTTTTCAACAGAAGGGGCGAGCAATTACCCATATGTTGTTAGCAGTGTGTTGTATGTATATTTTTTTGAATTTGACAAATTTCACCCTTGAGTTTGGCAAGGTATTGAGTTTTGAACTTATTTTGTTGCATTGCTTTCAAGTTTATGATTTATTGTTCTTTTTGAGTCAATGAAGACCCACGCATTGCATGCTACCAAACCGACTATGAAGCCTAGTTCAATCAACACTTTGTACTTGACTTGATAATTTGTCTTAAAACTTGAGTAAGAGTGCTTTACTTAGAATGATGGGCTCAAGGCTCTACAATGTCTCTCCAACTTCACAACTATCGATGCTGAAGACTCTTATCACTTTACATTTTCAAATAATCTTCATTTGAATCTTGCTTCTCTTGAGTTTACGTACTAAAGCAAACTTAAAATATTTGAAAACTGGAGCTTTCACCATAGTCCTTGTCATATATAGGAGCGTGTGCTCGTTGAGCTCGAAGGACCACTTGATCAACCTCTTTAAAAGCTTGGATTTTCATAAAATTACTTTAAAAGGCTGGTCACTATTATATTGCGAGCTTAAAGAAAAAGCCACAATCACTTTGATGTGTGCACCAATGCTTGGACCAATTTTTGCATCAAACTATCAAAGGATAATTTATTTTCATGGTCATGGTCGTTAAAGTCCGACTTGTGTAGCAAACCGAAATCTATCATTCCTCACTAACTTTCACTAAGATAACCATCAAGTCTTCAATCCCAAGATAAAGAAGCAACAACTCACTATGGCGAGGGCTTCTTATTAGGTTGAAGCCGCCAAATATTTCTTCAATTTATCAAATGACTCATCACACTCGAGAGTCCAATTGAACCCTATAGGCTCCTTTAAAGCTATAAAGAATGTGACACATTTTCCCGTATTGAAAAATATACTGACTTGTGATTGTCAACCTTCTTTTTGGCTTCTACACTTCTTTAGGAGACTTGGGAGGAGTTGTCTCTAAGACTACCTTGATTTTGTTAGAGTTTGTCTTAGTTCCTCTTGGTTAGATTTTAAAATTGAGGAATTTTCTCAAGCATGTTTCGATACAACTTGTCATTATAAGCATTATAATAAATTTTTAGTAGGGGTGTCAATATTTGACCCGACCCGAACCCAACCCAAAAATTTCGGGTTCGGGTTAGGGATTTCGGCCCGTTTGTAAAACCGGGTCGGGTTCGGGTTGACTCAGAAACCCGAAATCAACCTGGTTTGACCTGTTTTTAATTAATTTAGGAGGTTTTTAAAAGATTGTTATGAAATAAGTAAATGATATTTCTAAAAAATAATAAACATTGTTGCCCAAATTAAATTAAGCTTTATTTATTTTAAATTGATTGAAGTAAATCTTGCCTTAATTTGATTTAGGTTTTAATAAATCGAATTAAATAAAAAAAAATTAGTAAAACATATCCAAAGCCGGTCAGGTTCGAGTTAGGAAAATAGACCCGTTTGCAAAAAAATGGGTCGGGTTTGGGTCGGGTCGAATAGTGTCGGGTCAATTTTGGGTTAGACCCGAACCTGACCTGTGACCCGATTTTGACAGCCCTAATTTTTAGAGTGTCAAATATTTCTTGTCAGTCTTTCAATTTTTTGGACACTCGACTTACTCTTCAACAATAAGTCATCAACGTAGAATTTAACATTTCTGCCCTTATGAAATATGAAAACATTATCCGTTAACCGATGACAAGTTAGTTCAACATTCTCAGGTCAAACAATATAACAATGTAATAATGTGTTGCATCTACAATCATAGAAGTTGTCTTTTACTAATCGGATGAGTGCATCTTTCTTTTATGATATCTCAATAAAACATCTATGAAGCTTAGCATGAGATACCCCATCATGGAATCAATGAGTGAATCAATTGACTGCATCATAACTCCTTTCATTGTGGCAATTTCTGTTGGCGTTCAGAACTTTACGATGAGACGACAAGTGGACAACAGAACTCATAATGAGTTTAGTGTTTGATCGAAGATTGTATTTATGCCAAAGGAGCTTTGAACAATGTAAATTTGATTGGCTGAGTAAGATTCATTCAGGTTTACTACCTGGGCTCATGATGCTCCTAGAAAAACCTGCTAGGACGTCACCCATAGGTCTCAACTTACTCTCATCAACATTTAATTTTTGAATGCACCAAAGAAAGCTATACCCACTAAATTTCTTGAATCTATGAGTATCCTATGTAATTTGTAGTTGTTTATGTTAGATCTTATAATTACATCGTTAAAAGAGTTCTAGTTATAGGCAAATTATCCATGAAAGTATTGGGAGGTGAGATGATACAAGGATACTTTACTTTAGAATGAATCTTGTAATAGAGATTGCTATATCTTGCAACTTTGGCCCAGACAACCGTTTTTTCTCAATCACCCCATTGATTGTTAGTGACTTGGACTTGCTCACTCTTGAATTGTCACTTTCTTTTTGCTATATTGATCAGCGATAAAATCTTGCTTCCTTTTGATACAATTTTTTAAAGCTATAAGTATGCTCTAATCTCTATTACTCGCTATAATAACTTTATTGTATGACTTATTAATTTGATTCTTTAATTATTACTATGCTCTTGAACATGTACTTTGTTCTTAAATATTGGTACTAAAATGTTTGATCTAATTTGCACCCTCTTAGTCTTTACATTTTTATTGATTAGATTTATTACCCAAACTTTTGCGGAATTCCCATAACTTTCATATGTCAATGGATATATCATCCGGATCTAAAACTTTATTTTTTACATCTTTTCTATAGGTAATCCACTTCACCATTTTTTTGGATCAAGCTATAATATACCACATTACTTTGCTCATTATGCTGTTCTTAAATAATTCTTTCTTTCAGATATCTGTTTAATAAATTTTCAAAGTTTTTCATCATTACTTGATATCTTAATCATTAACAAACATCCTCTTATTTTTACTTGTAATGCACCTAATTTAATCATAGTCTGTAAATCTCTAATATGTTACCTTTGCTGTTTGAAATTTCTTCTTTCTCCTTCATTAATGCTGCATCTAACATTAAAAAAAACATATGACTGACTGCTTGGCTTCTTTGTGTTTCGGAAATAGGGTTCTTTTCCATTTTTGACGATTTGTGTTTTTTTTAAAGAATATGAAGAAGTACTATCTCATTGATCATTTACTGCTTTTGTAATATTAAATATATTCTGGTCATTTCAGATTTGTGTTCCACTGATTTATAGGTGATTGCATTTTTTAGCAGCAGTTTAAAGTATTATTGATATCTGTGATTCTGAGTTGCTTGCTGGGTAATGTCAGATCCTGTTTCACTTGTACGAGATCATGCAGTCAAAAGTCAATTAGTGGATCATGGAATTGTAGTACAGAGTTATAATGGTGATCTTCTGTTTGAACCATGGGAAGTTTATGATGCAAGTGGGCATGCTTTTACAACATTTAATGAGTTCTGGAACAGGTGCTTGAGCTTGCCTACTGAACCAGCAGCATTTCTCCCCCCGTGGCAGTTGGTACCACCCTCAGGTAAATTTGGATGCACAATATTTCACACTTAAGACTTGCTTTGTTGGCTTTTTTGAGGTAGACCAACTCCTAATTTGCTGCATTCAGTATTTTATTGAGTTCTTAAAAATGTCCTTTATAGCAGAGGAAGCTTTTAGCTTTTTTCTTTTGTTAGATTTTTGCGTAGAATTACTTGTATTTACCCGCTGATGAAAAAACTCTTTCCAAAATTTGTAAAAAATTCAATAGTTTGCCCTCTTTCTAAAATGTTAGTACTAGCATATTATTGAGAAGTTCATATTCATAATTCAACAGGAGGCCCCCCTCTTTCTCTCTCTTATCTTGCTACTATTCATGCGAGCCTTCATTTGTCTTACTATTGTTCCCATGTCCCTATGCTAGCCACCACTACTGTTTGTCGCCATTGTGTTGCTATTACTACCACTACTTGCACATGCTTGTGCTTGTTCACTCTAGCCCTTCTCCTCTCTTCACGCACTTATTGGCCTGTACATGCTCCTCGCTTGCACCACGCTTGTTAGCTCGAGCTAGCCAACCTTAACCACTCTTGCAATTTGCCTTTTCGTGCTTTCATCTCCTTAGCCATGTTTTATATCTTTTAGGGGATGTTTGGTTGTCTTTAAAGTGAATGCAGTGTAAAGTAAATGTAACATAAATTAAATACTTTAGTCTGTTTGATTGTCTGTAAAGTGAATGTAGGGGAACTGCTTTTTCTGTTTGGTTAGGTGTATGCAGAGTAAAGTAAAATCAAAGGCCCGTTTGGATGAGACATTGATGAGGGCATCCTACCATTGAGAGTTTACCAGAGACGGGGCCGACGATCTACGACCACGATTACATCGCTTTACATTTGAGTCATCAGCTATATTAGATATATTATTATGTTTGTATTGAGTTTATTACTGCATATTTTCCATTTGTACCATCACTTGAGGGAGTAGTCCTATGTAAGCCCTAGGGGCATGTTTGTCTTTTATTTCCTTGATTGTATGTTGGCTATTTAAAGTATCTTCATCTTTTGAGGGGATGATGATGATGATTATTATTATGAGATTTCTTTTTCCACTTGTGTTCGTGGAGAGCTTGTGAGCTTATGTGAGAGTTGAAGTTCCTAGGTGAGGGCAACAAAATATCCACCAGCCGCAGGAAGCGTCCAGGCTCGTGGTTTTCTTCCTCCACCATCTTCTTCCTCTCCTCTAACAGGCCTTCCCCTTCCTCTTCTATGCCATTGGCTTCACCCAACTCCACCCAAAATCAGCCCCACCACTTCCTTACTTCCAAACCACCGGCCACCTCCTCCTTCCCCGACCCCCCCCAAACCGTCGGCTACTACCGTCCTCCTCCCTCCAAACCGCCGGCCCTAAGCCCCAACACAACCGGCCCTAGCCCCACCTAGCCCAAGCTCCACCACCTCCCATAGCCGCTGGCCTTCCCCTCCAAGCCCTAGCCGCCAGCCACCCCTTGCTCTCCTAAATGTACTAATTTCCTAATTTAGCACATTATTAATTTGAAAGATCTCTTAATTCGAATTCAAATGAATTTGAATTTCAAAACCCTTCCTAATTGATATAAACATATTTTAGGAAGGCCCCCTCCCCCAATTATTACAAATCTGAAATTAAATTGGATTTGATTCCAATTCCACATTCAACGTATGTGAACACATTCAATGTATGTGGACACCTTCCCATTACCCACTCCTTTGGCCGGCCCCCCTCTCCCTCTCTTTTAATTATTTCCTTCCCCAATTGGAACTCCAATTAAGGAGGTAATAGCCGCCCCTCTCCTTTCCCCTCCTCTCTCCTATCTTACCCAAGACGT